GTAGAAAATCGTAGGAAAACTGAGAGAAAAACGTTTAATGGACTTATATTCCACTAGTAGATGATCAAAGCAAAAGCAAGATACAATGTTCTTCGATTCGAGAGGAAGAACAACTCTCCGATCTTCTCCGGCAACGCCAAGAGCCCAAGCAAGAAAACCCTAGATCTCAAATTACATTCAAATTCAAGATGCCCCTCTCTCCCTCCTAATCCTCCTAATTGACAATAAAGGATTCCTACAAATTACCTAAACACCCCTTTGCATTCAAAAATTTCCCTCCCACCTCATTAAATCAGCCCCAAGTGGGGTCCACCTTGTCCGCCCCCTCCTCTGGCCTTTTCCGCCTCCGCCTGGTGTAGACCCGGGCTGAACCGGGTCCAGCCGGCCCCTCCTGGGCCGGTTCACGCGTAACACATTCTTGAAATGTTTTCACTCTAGATAAACGTTAAGTCTAGTCATCCCCTTCAATGTCAACTTGCATGTTATGCCACTAGGTTGGGTCTTTTCTATGACATGTTGCAAATTTCTCCTTCTAACTATGTCTTAGAAAAATTTTGAATAAAAATTTCAATTCAAAAAACATAAATAAATGAACATACAAATTTTGAAAGAAATAAGAAACCCATGTAAACAAAGTAAGGAAATTATATTTAGGAAAGAAAAAATTTTATGTTTTGGATAATCATTGGATAAATAAAAGATGTGGAGGAAAAGGAGTCCAGTACGGAGGAAGAGAATTTAGCAAGGATAGGGAGGCAACGGTGGTTTATAGGAAGAAGATGGTTGACATTGTGCATGAGATGGAGAGGAGAAGGAATTGTTTGAAAGAAGAGGTGCTCGATTATATCCTATGATTGTAAGACCACGTGCATCTATGCATGAGGCATAAGAATTATTTGGGTAAGTAAAGTGTTTTATTAAGTTTAATTTACTTATACTTGTATTAAAAAATTCTAGTGATAAATAGTACACACATCATAGAAACTGAGGCAAGGCGTGTGATACATCAAATGAAGCGTATGCCTTATATAGAACCAATGTGGTGTGCACCTCATTTTATTTTTCCTTCAAAATGCATTGAAGCATGCCTCAAGGCGCGCCACATTAAACTATGGTTCAACCCTATATTTAACCATTATGATCAAATCTAGGCACAAGTATAATCAATTAAAGTCAAAGTGAACTCCAACTTGATCCTCAGAGCAGCCTCAAGACCAACACCCAATATCAAAATTTGTTACTTAATCAAATAGCAATGTTTTGTCTTACTAAACTTTTTAATGTTATTTTGAAGATTAAAAAGATACCAGATGAGTGGAGAATGAGAATTAATTCATGTTTTTAAGAATAAAGGTGATGTACAAGATTGTATGAATTATAGAGAAATTAAGTTAATGTGTCATACTTTAAAACTATGGGATACAGTCATGGAGCATAGGTTGCGACATGATAGTAATGTTTCTCAAAATCAAATTGAATTCATGATGGGTAGTTCTACTATGGAAGCTATACATTTATTGAGAGGTTTGATGGAGAAGCATAGAGAAAATATGAAGGATCTACATATGACATTTATTAATTTAGAGAAAGAACATGATAAATTTTCAAGAGAAGTGCTATGGAGAGTTCTAGAAATGAAAGAAGTTAATAATGTTTATATTCAAGTCATTAAAGATATGCATGGATGTGTTGTTACTTGTGTTCAAACATATGGTGGTTTGACCAAGTATTTTCCTATTTCAATTGGATTACATCAAGGATCAGCCTTAAGCCCATATCTTTTTGTTTTAGTCATGTATGTTCTCGCTAGACATTTCAAGAGGTTGTACCCTAGTGTATTCTTTTTTTAAGGACGGTTGATGCATATATGTCAAAAGGTTAGAGTAGCTCCAGTGGGAGATAAGATTAGAGAGAGCACCTTAGATAGTTTGGTCTCATAAAACATCAGTCTTCCAAAGACATGGTTAGGAAAGTATATGTATTAGATATGAATTATATTAAGATAGATAGAGGTAGACCTAAAAAGACTTGGTTAGAAAATATTAGAAATGACCTTTCTTTATTAGATTTAAATGAGAATTTAACTCTTAACAGGCCACAATGAAGAAAAAAAGATTCATATAGCCAACCAACATGGTGGTAAAAAGGCTAGTTGATGTTGTTGTTGTTGTAATCAAATAGGAATTTTTATAACCCCAATAAAAGAAATGCGTAAAACAACATTGATACACAAAAACAAAAACAAAATGACACCCACGTACAAATCACATATTTAACTCAGAACTTCCCCATCACTCGATGGCATGTCAATTAAATTAAACAAATACCACATCAGCATGACAACTAGTGATCATCAAAGCATGCAAAGGGCAGCAATTTCCTAATATTACCACTAAAAAAGCAAGAAATTATACAAATTCCTTCATGGAGGCTAGCCTAACATGGGTGATCATAAGCACTTGCAAGCTAGAAAAGTTTTGGGTTTCTGATAGAAAAATTAGTTTCTTTCAAGAAAGTATCTTTGCTATTCTTATAAGAAAACTTAAATTTGAAAATTAAACAAAACAGGAACTAACTGCATACCACATGTCCTCTGGTCCCAAAGGTTCTTCCTTCAGAAAGGTTTCCAAGCATGCATATAATGAAACAGGTTCTTGGGGTCTCCTTGTGAAGATGCTGCACTTGTAAATCTCAGGCAAGGAACTGAGAAGAGATATGTCATAATCTTCTATTGTTTTGTTTTTCCAACAGACAAGCACATGTAGTTTCTTATGTGGCTCTGCCACCAACTCTAGCTCATTCATTTCAATCGTGGATATCATCTTTTGGCTCTTTTCATCCGTTAAGAAGAACAGAAAATTATCCGGGAGAATTTCAGTATTTTGCCCGTCTTCTTCGGCATCAATAGTACCTTTACTATCAGACAGATCAGCATCCATCTCAACAACTTCATCAAAAGAAATGCTTTCATTTGCTTCATCAGCATTACAGGCAATAGCTGAGAATCGGAGAAATGGAATCAGCAACTTCAAGCATAGGCTGCGAATTGCAAATCCAGATGGAGGATCCGTTAACCTTCCTACTAGAGGAACACCAAGTGCCTTCCAAACTGGGGCGAGAACACTGTGGATATAACGTCTGGAAATACAAAAAAAAAACACAATAACGGTAAAGCCATATACAAAAATTATATTTCTGCAACAGCAAATATCATCACCCAAATTTAGCATGCCTCAAATTTAGCATGCCTCGATGAATACCATATAAGAATAGTAAAAGTATAAGGAGTTTCATGAAGAGAACCAAAAAGAGGACAATATCCTGTGTAATGCCTAAATTTTGGGTAATTATATAACTATTGCACATAATTCTATTTACAACAATACCACCCCAAACTCACAAGACTTCAATAAAACTAAAACATGTAATTTTAACTTTTAATAAATTATCAATGATTTGACTGCGACAATTACAACATATGATTTTGATAGTATTTCTTCTATAGGTGTTAGATATATGGATAAAAAATATTTGAGTAGTATATGGATAATTCTCCCTTATAAAAAAAGCTAAATTTCTTAAAACAGATTTATCATATGAATAACATAAGAGCATTCAGTTGTATCATAAACTAGTAAAACACTTTACACGACATCATGATCAAAAAAATAGTCAGAAGGCCTCCACAAAAAAAAATGTAGGGAAGAAACAAGATCAAATGCTTTCTGAAAAAGTAAATCCATAACAATATGCAAGCTGATTTGAAACAAGCATTCCGTGTTTTTTAGTCAGGTCTCCACAACAAAAAATGTTGGGAAGAAACAAGCATCTTCTGAAAAAAGTAAATCCATAGCAATATGCAAGTTGATTTGAAACTAGCATTCAGTGCCCTTTTCGGCCAAATATAAAAGCACGTACAAGGGATGTCCCTATAGGAAAGAACAAGCTAAATACTGCCATCAATCAGACACTTTCGGACAAATTTTGAGCCCTTTTATCAGAGAACAGTAACATTGCACATCATGTCTTGTTTTATGTTCTCTTTACAAACATTAGTGAAACTATTTACAGCTTTCTAGACATTTGATAAGAGATCTATACTGGAAAGATATTTTCTTGATAGATGTAATCTCTAAAGTGATTTCTTTAATGGTCTAAACTTTAAACTCTAACATCCAAGCAGTAAATGAAAGTTCCAATAATCATTTGTTTCAGAATTTTCAAATTTTGACATGTACGCAAAAAAATTGTAGGTGCTGATATCTATGATTGTTAAAAATTTAAGCTAACCTTCTACGCAGTACATGTTAGGTCTCATCACATGCTATTGTTTGAATAAAAGTTTAGGCATAATAGCTATGCAGAGCAAGAGGCTGCCCACAATACAAGGCATGGGTGTAGTAACGTAGTTGATCAACACAAGCTTACTCTTCATTGCACAAAGATTGCTTTCATGATTTTAACCAGAGACCAGCAATTCACAATAGAAACAACAAAACCATTTCCTCAAAGCCACCCGCTAAATTTTAAAATGGATTTTAAGAAGTATTCTAACGCATACACTATGTTGCATCGATACACCTATTTATGAAGGCGTGTTGTATCCGATACACGGATACGCCTCCGATACTCCACCGATACGTGTCGGATATGCCAAAGACGTATACAATTAAAATACTATTTAATTTCAAAAGGACACACGTATCCGATACACGTGTCCGTTGAAAAACAAAAAGAAATTCGAAAAAAAAAAATGTGTCGTATTTACTTCCGCGGTTGCAGGCAAAGTTCTCTCATTTCCGAGATGGATTTGAGTCTCTTGATGATATAAGAATATTAGAAATTACTAATCTTTCACTTCATGAGCCTGAATTAAAAGCTATGATATTTATTGAAGATGATATAGAAGTTCAAAGACAAACCACCGAAGAAGCTAATCATATCATTCATCCTATTGAATAGTTGAAACTTTATGTGCTAGACAATTTATGTTTATGCTTTTGTTGTTGTACTAGACATTTAATGCTTACTTATATTTTGATATTATAAGATACAAGGCTACAAATGATGTTGTTGTCATTTTTTTTTTTTATAATTTCAAATATTATGCTTTGATTGCTTTCTTAATTTTTATGTATGATTTATAAATTATGATGCCGTGTCCGCGCCGTACCCGTATCATGTATTTTTAAGAATTGACGTCTCCCGTATCTGTATCGTGTCGTATCCGTGTCGCCGTTTCCGTATCGGTGCAACATAGCGCATACATTTCACAATAGATAATAAAAGTACAAAATAATATTCATATTCATGTCCTACTTCTTCCAGTCTAAGTGTCTCTGACACATCATGTCATGTCCATATTCTGTATCTAAATCTTTCTAACAAGCATGACGTTTTCACTAATTAGAATGAATGCGGAGCAACTTTATTGCCCAAGAAATATGAGAATTTTAGGTTGGGCTTCACTGCACCTCACGCTTAATGCAACTGCCCAAATGTAAGATGATACTAGCTCGGGAGTACAGTCAAAGAGTTACATCTTAACCTCTCTCACTGCAATAAATTAAAATGCTCGATAAAAAAATATAAAATTCAAAAGATTATCATAAAGAAAATGCATCATGCCATTGGGCTTCAATCATCTTTAGCCCTCAGTTACTCACAATTGTCCTTTCAGCCTCATAACGTCTAGTTATCTGCCTTAATGTAGCTAACTTCAATAACCCACACCTAATTTGATGTAACTAGAACTCTTCCAAATAGTTCAGAAAAAAATTCACTTGTAAGCACTACAAAGCTGGGCAACAAGAGTCTTTGAAAAAATTAATTATGAAGAACTAATAATAAGTTTTTCAGCTTTTGAACAAGTTCACCGATAAATAAACGTACTCCTGCTCACGCTGGTGAGTAAATACAACCAGTGGGAGTTCTTCCTTGACTCTAGGAAGCCGGTATGCTGAGAGCTGATCTTCATCTCTAATTAAGGTAAGTACATCAGATGGATCCTCCAGGTAACGAATGATACGACTAGCAAAAACCTACAGAAAACTCTAGTAAGCAAATACTGAAAACAGACAATACATAACTAAATGTTATAGCATCTCAAAGTTGATTCTATAAAATGATTAGGGAGGTTAACCTACATACATGAGGTCAAGGGTAGAATTATAAAACAATCATTTAACAACACGGGATAAGCCTAAATACATGAGCTACTGCCTCGATCACACATTGGTGGAAGCCTCATGCATTATGTAGGCCCTTTTTTAATATAAAATATATTAAATTAAAAAAAAAACGGACTGAATACCTCAGCTACCAGAAGGACTTCATCATTTTTCAAAGAACAAGCATTGCTTAACGCATGAATAAGGTCCTTGCATCTTCCATCTTTGGGCACATTTACTGTATATGAAGAAGGTTGAGCACTACCATCACCACTGAAGACCGTCACGGTCATTGGTCGTGTTGTAGATGAAGGAAGGGGCAAGGACAAGTACATGAATGGATCAAATGTGACAGACACCTTGTTGCAGACAGGGCAAACTAATGTAGACCTGTATTGTCCCTGAAATGAAAAGATATGTCCCAACATACAACATTTGACATTAGTGCAAACCATTGACTAAAACTGTAGGCCATAAATTTTACTTTGAGTAGAAGACTAAATGCTTAAAATGTTAAGACAGAAAATGAGAAGATACAATAATAAAGTACTCTTGCAGCAAAAAAAAAACATGAAATTGGACAAACAGGGTTGCCTGGTTCACTCAACAAAAATGGCCAGTACATGGAATTCAAAGACATTGCACAACAGGTTTGTACGAAGTACAAACAATCTAAGCATGGTGGTGCAAAAAATAGGATAACCAAATGCACTAACGCTCACCTGACAAACATCAACTATGACAGAGTCATTTCGAGCCAAATGATTTTGCCAGTATTCATTGGCTACCTCTTCATCAGGACGGCCATCTGAATCCTTAACTTCAACATATGGCTTGCACTTTACACGATTTAGATCCTCATGGAGACCATCTAACAAAAAAGCAAGTAGTTCCTATAAAACAACAGCACAACCTCAGCTTATTTCAGTACTTATCTAATGGTCCTATCTGAATTCCTAGTCTCCTTAAGGGAGAAAAAATGGACAAAAACAACAATAATTATGATAAATTATGATAAGCTTGACAATAATAATAATAATAATACAGAATAAAAAGCACTTTGGCGCATCAATTTTGCCTATTTAGATGTTGTGTCATTGCGAATAAAGAGGAGAGACACAAAGATAGCTAAACATAAAATTAAATAAGGTGTTTATAGAATAGGAAAACTTCAATTTACAAAAAGAATAATTACTCTTGCCTAAGATTTACTAAAAGAGGGCTTGGCACTTGCCTGGACACTATTGCAAGGTAACTGTAGGCTTCTATAGAAAAAAAACTCACAATTGAAATCTTGAAGAAGGAAACCAAAGGAGTTTTTCAAAAATCTAAATTGATATAACCAAACTTCCCTCAATGAAGACAAGCGGATTCATTTAGATTTGGATATTGAGACTTACTATAATCTCAAGCAAGCATAATGACTTATCCCTTCCTACACGAGAGAAATCTCAATTAAGAAAATTATAGCTTTAGTTTTCAAAATACTCACTCTTTAAGGAAAACTCTATGGCGACCACTCAATTCATGCTGATATTATTTATTATTCATGTTTCACTGTCATGTTGTGTGCAGGAAATAGTTGCGGGAAGGAGAGAAATGACAAGCAATATTAAGATCTCATAATTCCATCATCCAAGAGATTTAAGTTAGGGAGTTTTAACTACAGGAATCAAGTCTAAAAACTTGTTATGAGTGTTAGCACTGAGGCATCAAACTTGTTGAGACTTCAGAGCTTGTGAGTTAATAAGCCTTTATTGTGACTGTTAACACAACTTTAACAACAATGGGTTATCCATCCAAGTCATAGTCTCGTACAAAACTGAGGTAGAGTGAAATGACTGACAAGGGAGTTTTTTGCCACACTGATGTGCTTCATTGTACCTAATCTAGGGGTGTAAACGAGTGGAGTCGAGCTAGAGTCAGACCTAACTCGAGCTCAACTTGCGAGCCAAATTCTAAGCTCGAACTAGGCTCAAACTCGAGTCGAGCTCAAATGAAAAGCTCGAACTCGGCTCGTCCCACTATAAAAGAGCTCGCAAGCCGCTCGCGAGCCGTCCGTTCCACAGTTCGCAATCCGCAAAGATTTTACGAGTACAGGTTGGCTTGTTCAGCCCGAATCACAATCTCTTCCGCATGCACAACAGAAGTTTTGCAAGAGGTTTGCTTTCTATTATTTTTAAAATTGATTTAAAAAAAAAAAAACAGCACCACATTTATTAAAAAATTGCAGTAGATTTGCTTCCTACTTGTCTTTTCCACTTAAAAGCTGCAAGTGGTTGATTAGAAATATAAAATTAATAGTTTATATACTTTTAAACATTCAACTCTAATATTTTAAAAGATGCAAGTTAGTTTGTCTTTTCCAATATTTTTTTTAATATTCATATTTAATAAAAATGACAATTATTTAAAAAATAATTATAGTTATTCGAGCAGACTAACGAGCTCCCGAGCCGAGCCTCATCAAGCTCGAACTCGAGCTCATAGCTCGGCTCGCGAGCTCGTTAACGAGTCGAGCTCGAGCCGACTCGGCTCACTTACACCCCCAACCCAAGGGCGATCTACCTAAACCCCAGGGGGGGCGGGGGGCCTAAAAAAATTTATTCTATGATTTTTTAGGTAATTTGTCCCCCGTTATCTATTTTGTAGTCTTTATTACAAGGATTTTTAGGTAATCCCCCCCCCCCCTAAAAGTTATAAAATGATATGATCTTTAGGCAATTGCCCCCAGCATAATTAAACACATTGTGTAGAGGTGTTATTGTTAGGGAACGATGAACCAAATACAAAGAAAAATATTAAAGAGAATCCAAAAATAGAAACATAACGAACCCCACCAGGGGGCGCTGCCCCCTTGGACCCCTGACATATCTATGAAATATCTACACATTTACTTATAAATTTGCCCTCCTTGAAAATTAAAGTTGGTTTGCCCCGGCCCCAACCTAATCTCATATCATCCTTTAAGGTAGTCATCAATGTAAGTTTAATATCACTCTTTCAATGGAAACTAGTATGAATCTCTATCACCCTTTAGGGGGAAAGCTAAAATAGCATGCATATCACGCCTTAGGAAGTTGACGCAGTTGTGCTATCCCTTAAAGTGGAATTTGATGTGAATTAAGTTTACACATTTGCATGGGAGCCAAAGAAGAAAACATATCACCCCATGAGGTAAAGATAATATTGATTTAGTCTTATCCCTTGGGATCAAAACATCATTAATGCCTTCATATCTTTTTAAATGTACTGAATGGGTTAAGGAAATAGTGATGATATGAATGGAAAAATTATGAAGCTGAAAACTAATAGGCCATTTAAAGAAAATACAACTTAAACTTTCCTTTAAAAATTAATTTGTTTAGATTGTCTCCATTCTATAGTGTTTGTTTTGTAGAAGAATAAAATTTATCATACATACAAATTTATCACATACATACATATATACATTATATGCATGCATGCATGCCAAATTGCATATATATATATATATATATATATATATATATATATGTCATGTTCAATATGTGATATTGTCTTATACTTTTAATAATACATGTGTCCAACCCCCAACGTCCATATCATATCATGTATGTTTTGGTATATCATAGATTTTGAAACATTAAGAACCTCCAGGATGGAACCTTGTGTTAAAATTTCCTAATGCTGTCATATAGCCATATAAGACTACCAATAAAGTACCACATTTTTTAAAGAAATTCAATGCACAAATGAAATGGAATTATTTAAGGAAAATGCTTAAAATATCAACCTGAGGAGTCATCACGGCCGACTAACTTTGTCCAAAGTTCAACGGAATTGATTTAAACCTTCTAGAACTTTGCTAAATTTTTTTCAAACTTTAACCTATCTATATGAATATTATATATTATTTTCCTAAGTTTCTATAAATTATCATAAGCATTGCAAAGTTCATTGAAATAAAAATATGAAATGCACTATCAAAATGTCATGTCATTTTTTAGATTTTCTGAGGATTTTTAAAACTTTTATGGATTTTTAGTTTTTTTATTTTCTATAAGTTAAGATAAATATGTAGATTTAAATATTCTTTTAACATTTTTTCAACGCAAAAATGCCCAACAAAATTAATGCTATAAAATTTGAATTTCCTAGAAGAGTGATGTGGTCGAGCAATCAAATGGCACATGGTGTGATTAAGGGCATGACATATGGTAATTGACTAAAATAGTAACCCAACAGGTGCCATGTGGCATGCGGCATGCCACGTAGGCATGATGAGCTTAATTGTTAATATGGTGAACGCATTTATTTTATCACATAGCACTGGCATGGCAAGCATGTGGACAACCATACCCCCAAAGAACCCAACCCTTCTAACCCCAAAGCCAAATTGAAGCCACTAATAGGTCATTTTAAGTTGCCATGGTAATAGTAATTTTAAGTCAATAACAAGCAGTCAAGCCAATGGGCATATTCAGTACATAAGGCCTACTTTATTGATAAAGAACAAGCCTACTGATGTGAAACGTACATGCGAGGGAGTTACTTTAGGAAATTATAGAGAGCAATTTGAACAAAGTAGGCCAAATTAAAATTATCATTTGTAACAAAAGAGTGAACCTAAGAATTCTTAGTCTTAACTCGCTTAGGCAACGAAGAGCGACATTCGATCAACCAATCAATTCAAAAACATGCAAGGAATAATTGTATGCTACGACAATAAACAAAAATCCACGAATTAATAAAGAGAACTTTCACCTTTAGAGCCCATACGCTCACTAATCTAGGCTTTAGCGGAAGAAGCGTCTCCACATTAGAACCGAGGCCACTTCGAGGAAGAAAGACCTTTAGATCGTCGCTCGAGGATAGGTAGCTTCCTGGGCAGCACCCACTATGGGTATGCCAGGATTCGGTCCACTCTTGGAGCTACTGGACACTTTGGACCGTAGCCTGCAGCTTTCCTGGATGTCGGCTAGCAAGTTCCCATGCTGGAAAGAGGAGTGGGCAGCCGGTAGAAGATGAGGGGAAGGTTGAGGGCCACGTGCAAAGAGTTTAGGGAACTCACGTTTGCATCTCTTGGAAGAGAAAACTCAATAACAACGGAATAGAGGGAAGCTGTTTCAGTTTCAGATTTTTTTTGAAAATCTGAAATTAAAACTGAAGAAATCTGGAATTAATTATGTGAGAGGGGGCATTTAAGAGGTGGTGATGTGGCAATTCCATAGAGGAGCAAAGGGATGAGGTGGCCGGCCATATGGGAGAGAAAGATTTAGGAGTTATGAGAGTGGGGCCCAAGTTTAAGTACGAAATTCAATTAAATCTGAATTTTATTTTCAGATTTAATTGGGCCTTAAGTAACTTCCCAAATTGAAATTGACATGAGAGGGAAAATTGGAGTCTGAATTTCAAATGGAATTAATTGCTGGTAACTGTTGGCTGAAAAAAAGGGGCTGATGGATTAAGCAATTAATCTAGCATTAATTGTTGACATCCCACGGATTGGGAAAATCAGAGGGAAAACAGCGGTGAAGGCTGCAGGTGGAATTTCGGTGATTTGGGGAAGAAAAGCTCACGGCTTGGACTGCTGGCTTGTGGAGTTGGGAATCGGTAAGGAGGAGGGGGAATGGCTTGCACGGGGTTGTCTGGATCGAGGGCCAAAGCCTGGAGAAAGGCTTGGCCGGCGGGATGGCAGCCAAAGTGGCCGGAGGTTTGATCAGGCCAAGGCTAAACGAAAACAAATGCAGGGAAAGGAGGAGAGAAAACAAGATCTAGGGATTTGGACCACCACAGAATTGCTAACCTTGAATATATTCACCTTGAATTTCCACAAGGTGGGATAATTCGAAAACTAGAACTCACTAAGAGATCTAGTTTTCTCCGGCGAACTCACTAAGAGATCGTTGAA